GAATAGTGCATCTGCGAGTTCAGGTGGAATATTAGGCATGTATTTCAAAATGGAGTGGCGAACTGAAGGCTCCAGGCTATCCACTGGATGATATTCCGGAACAAAGTTTGGGTACAAATCGGATTGAGGAGGATATCCCTCCTCAACTGGTTGATAGACCTCAGGTACCGGCTCACAGTCAAACTCCACACAGGGATATTCAATTGGGAAAAAGTAGCAGCCGAAGGAGTATGGTTGACAATAGCCTCTGTGCTTATTGGAGGGAGATTTGCGCTTCTTTCGAGCACCATCTTTTTTCATTCCTTTGAACCAGCTATCAGTCATCTTGCGCCTTGTTTTCGGCAATTTGTTTCGGGCAACAACGGCCTTGGTCTTGCTCAAGACCTCCTCGATGGCCTCGGGAGATAGGTTGACGAAGAGATCATCGGGTTTGTGCACACGTTTAATGATTGCCTCAGTTGTTGCGCGATCCAAAGTTCCGAGAGTTTTGTCCAGGTGTCTCATTGAAACAATGAGTTGTTGCAAATCCTTTGGCGAAATGTCAGTTGTCAGAGCCGCATGGATGCGCATTCTTGATCACAGTGCCAACGAATGACTTCCGAAATTGCAACACCAGAACCAACATCTTAATCCACATTCTCGTTTCCGCTTCCAGTCGAGTCAGCTCACCACGTGTTCAATTCAATCCATCCTTTGTTACGCTTCCAATGAATACCATCTTATCACTCGCCTATTTATCACCAACTACAGATGTTCTCATCCATGTTGCCAAGAGGAAAGAAGTGGAAGTAAATGCCAAAGTCCAACACACATGTAAGCTGTCAGACACTGGTTGCATTGGAAGTAACAATAACATGGAGTACTTAAACACCTGAAATGTGACAAAGTGTGTGATCGAGAGTTGGAAATTATTTGGAAATACGGCCTGGAAATAATTATCCCACTGAGCTGTTGTTGTTGCTGTAATTGTTGTTTATAGTGACAAGAGTGATCAGAAATGGTCCACTCAACAGATGTGACCACTATTTTCACTTGTGGGGATGAGGAGGCATTCAACAATGTGCATTTGCCGAGACTGAAGGTGGAGAGATTCACGGCAAGTAGGATTGAGTCTGGGAGTCATTCAGATTCTCTAACATGAAAAATTCAGTCATATCATGGAATACATAGGCTCAACGATTGGCAGCAGAACATTATTATTATTAATTCAAATGGCAGGCTTTGTGATATTTATCATTAGCCCTTAAACTTTGAATTCAGCTTCCTCCAAGGGGGGGGGTACATTTATAACCATTAATTAATAGCAGTTCATTTGCCGTCTTCTTGCTTCCCAGTATCTCTGGCTTTCCGTCCTTGCCTTTAGGGTTGGACATCGAATTAGGTGGGTCTTCTCCATTTCCTCCTATAGGTTACATAGAGGGCACGTGGGTTGAGTGAATGCCCCCAATCTGTGAAGACGTTTTGCCAAGCAATCATGTCCGGTACGTAGTCTAAACTCAGCAACGGCTTCGATTCTTGGCCAGTCGGGTATGTCGGAGAGTGCCACTGTCCACTGTTTCTCCTTTGTTCGAGCTTTAAGTTCGTTGCGCCTTGAGGTTTTGAATTCTCTCCTGATTAAGGCCTTCATTGTGTGGAAAGACATCGGCCGGTCCATGCATTGCAAAATCGTTGTCCCCTTCCTAGCAAGTGTGTCAGCAAGCTCATTGTCTTTAATGCCACAGTGACCAGGAATCCATTGTAGGACCAC